GGGGGGGGGGGGGGGGGGGGGGGGGGGGGGGGGGGAGAGGCTTGAGATTGATTTCCCAGGCGGGCGGCGGCTCTCCTTCTCTCCAGCGCCGCCCCCGGCTGTCTGCGGCCGCGGTAAACAGCGAGCGAGCGGCAAAGCCAAAGCCGCCCCACCACGTGCCGCTTTTCTCTCTCGGGTCCCGCCCGCGCGGCGCCTCCTGGGAGCCGTAGTTCGCTTTCCCGGCCGCTTCCTATTTCCTCGACTGCGCACTCCCGCTCGGGAAGAACTACGCGCCCCGGCGTGCCTTGGGAGGTTGGGGCCGGCTGGCCAATCGAAGTGGCGCCAACTGTGGCGCGCAGGTTTGAATTGGCCCAGAGCGCGTGGCCTCGCTTGCCCGGCCGCTGGGGGCCCCCTCCCGGCTCTTGCGCCCCCTGCAGGAAGGAGGATATTGTTACTGCAAGCTTGTTTTTTTTTTTTTTAAATGGGCCTTTGAAAAGCCAATGCCAAACACACACACACACACACACACTTTGCCTAATTAAGAATTAGGCACAGAAGCACTTAAGAATGCCTGGAATGGGTGCATCAATGCACTTGGCAGTGTGTGGTTTTTGGCTAAAAGCTGCAGTGTTACTGGGGTTGTATGTGTGTCTGCCTTATTAGGACTTCTGTTTTATTGCCTTTATTCTCTTCTTTGGTAAATGGCTATTAATAAATCATGGTGCCTCTGAGATGTACACAGCGCCAGACCTTGGCATATTGTTTTGTGTCCTTTTTACTATTGATATCCAGCTGGTTTTGCCTTTCCTAGATCGAAACTTTAGGATCATCCCTCTTGCCATGTTGTGGCTGGCCTTGAAGCAGTAAACAGCTTTTGCTGGGCTTATAATTACAGGGACTCTTTATCGGGATCTGTCAAAGACGTAAACATGACTTCAAACGTGTTGTTGCTTGTAAGCTGCAGGCTGTGGTCGGTGATTTTCTAGGAGAACTCTGTCTAGGGAAAAGGAGGGGGAAAAACTGTGTTTGTGATCTTGGAATGGCATTGGAGGCAGCAACAAGCAGCGGCTTTTCCAGCATAAAAAGCAGGTTTAGCTCAGGATAAACCTCTGACCTTAAAGTAAAAAAGTTTAAATTTTGGAAATCAGGTTCCCTTTTTTCCGTGAATTTTGCTGCTTTCCTATCACAGAGCAAGCTATTTTTTGCTTTTTTAGAAGAGATATCTAGAGGGCCACAAATCAACCCACCTTTCGCAACCCTACGAGATTGCAAAAAGATGGAAAGGGTATACAATCAGTTGAGTTTTTTTTTTTTTAAAAAAAAAGCAAATTCCTGATCCTCGGTCCCACTTTGGCCAAGGTTTTGAGGAATGTGCGGCCGCTAAGATCTGTGAGCTTGTATAGGGGGGTCTGAAACTGCTAATGGGGTTTGGCCAGAATCTGTTTGTGATGCTCTGCCCGGAGAGGTTTAAGACAGCTGCTCTTCAAATGCTTTGTCTTAATAAATCTACGGGGGGAAAAGAAAAGGGGGCTTCCGTATTTATGGCTGAGCTCTGTAAAGAATGCATAGTAGCCCTTGCCAAGCTCCCCTCATGGAGCCTTGTTTTTTTCCCCCCAAGGCAGGCCCAGGAGTGTGTTTGCTGAATTGTGTTTATATGAGAGCCCCCTCCCTTTTTCCGGTGGGGGAGCCGGAGGTTGTAAATCTGTAATGCCCATTGCATTTCCAGCTTGAAACACGCCAAGACATAACAGTGCAAGGGAATTGGGAGGGGGGAGAAAGTTGTTTAGTGGCAGGTCACCCTGCCTTGCCAAGGAACCGCACGCTCACTTGTAGGGAGGGGAGAGATGGAGAGAAGGCAGCCCTTGAAAACCATCTTAGAAAAAGAATAAAAACGTATAACGAATACACATTGCCTTGGGAAGAGTTTTAAAAGTTCGGTTAATCCCCTCTCTTGGAGGGGGGGTTGTGTGTTGGGTTGTATTGAACGAAACCAGGGGCCACAAAGAAAGTTACAAGTCTCGATTCTCAGTTCCTCTGTAGTAGTTGTCCTGTTGTGTTTACATTTTTTTCCCCCCAAAAAAAAGGGGGGGAGGGAAAGGGTTGGCCGTCATTCTCCCTGCCTTGTGAATTTGCAGCGGTCTTGGACGGCAAAGCTGGAATCCCCATGACTCATCCTGGGTTTTTTATTCTTTTTTTTTTTTTTGCCCCTTTTTAAGGATTTGAAAGAAAAGAAGGAAGTTGTGGAAGAAACAGAAAATGGCAGGGATGCTCCCGCCAACGGCAATGCCGTAAGTATCTCAGTTGGGATGGAATTTGGGAGGTGGAGATCTGACAATAATAGAATTGGAAGGGGACTTGGAAGAAGATCCCACGAACCCAGATTGAACTTTCCTAAGTAGGAGAAACTTTGCAGAGTCTCGTTTATTTTCTTTTTTCTTTTTTTTTAAACTTCTTGGTCTTGCTGTGAGACATCACTTACTCCCCCATTCACACAACCCCAGACACGATTGATATAAGTTGGGAAGCCAGCCCTCTTAGACAGTTGTAGAAGCAGACCGTTGGTCTAAGCCATTGGAGTTTAATTTTAATTGGCGGGTTCTGCAAACCATGGCAATTCTGCTTGGTTAACTCTTAGTCTAGTGAAAAAGAGGACTAGGGGTGCCATGATGGCAGTGTTCCAGTATTTGAGAGGGGGTCAAATTATTCTCCAAAGCACCTGAAGGGGCAGGACAAGAAGCAATGGATGGAAACGAATTAAGGAGAGAAGCAACCTGGAATTAGGGAGAAACTGCCTAACAGTAAGGACAGTTAACCAGTGGAACAGCTTGCCACCAGAAGTTGTGGATACTCCAACACTGAAGAGACTAGACTGACATATTACTATAAATAAATACTATTTGTCTGAAATAGCAATAGCACCTAAGACTCTATATACCGCTTCACAGTGCTTTACAACCCTCTCTAAGCGGTTTGCAGAGTCAGCCTCTTGCCCCCCAACAATGTGGGTCCTCATTTTACCCACCTCGGAAGGACGAAAGGCTGAGACAACCTTGAGCCTGGTGAGATTCGAACTGCCCAACTGCAGGCAGCCGGCAGTCAGCAGAAGTCGCCTGCAGTACTGCACTCTTAACCACTGCACCACTGTGGCTCATGGTATAGGGTTTCCTGCTTGAGCACAGGGTTGGACTAGAAGACCTCTAAGGTCCCTCCCAACTCTTGTTATTCTGTGAATCTGAACTCTTGTTTTAACGTGTGAGCCCAGGATATTGTTTTCCTGCAAGGAAGGAACAGCGGTCCGTGTTTCAAGTGATTTTATTGATAATTATTAGGAGTATAAAGTAGTGTATCTCAACCATAGTCCATTTAGGACTCGTGGACTTCAACTCCCAGAATTCCCTGAACCTGGCTGCTTGAGGTAGAGGCGTGCAATAGGTGTTTGGCTGCTATCCAAAAATAAAACACAAGTTTGCAGTGCAATAGGCAGGTGTATTAAAGGGGGGATTTGATGAATGGGGGGGGGTTGGCAGGCTCCCCCCCGTTTTTTGTTTTTAAGTGTGCTTCATTTCCGCAAAGGAGAACGAGGAAAATGGCGAGCAGGAGGCGGACAACGAGGTAGATGACGAAGAGGAAGAGGTTGGCGACGAAGAGGAGGATGAGGAAGAAGGTGACGGTAAATTCTCCCCCTCCCCCTTTTTTTCCTTTTCCTTTTTTTTCTTTCCTTTCCTTTCTCCTTTTCTTTTTTTCTTTTTCCTTTCCTTTTCCTTCCTTTTCCTTTTTTTTCTTTCCTTTCCTTTCCCCTTTCTCCTTTCTTTTTTTCTTTTTTCTTTTTCCTTTCCTTTTTCCTTCCTTTTCCTTTTTTTTCT